CTTTATAGAGGTTGGAAAACATTGGTCACCTGTATTACTTGAAAGCAGCCTCTTAGGTACTTGTAGATCATTAAAGTTTGCTTCTCAGTCTTTGCCTCTCTGAACCAAACATTTCTATTCCTTTCGCTTTCTGTATAGGTCTTATTTTTCAGATACTTTAATCATCCATGCTGTTTTCTGTTGGAACTTCTCCCAAGTCTTTTTAATGGTGAAAACTAGAATTTTATGTTTTATTTTAACTCCTTTAGGAAAGACATGGTCAGAACTGAGTAGGAGGGTAAGATTACACTCCTCAATTCCCTATACTTTTTAGTTATCTTTCATTTTTTAGGGTATTTTTGGTGTACAGAAGTAGAAGGACTAGCCATACATTGAACATAGGTGAAGTTTGTCCTTTTTATTAGTGAACTGAATTCATTGGTGAAATGTGTGTTTTTCTTTGCAACATTGTTTCTTAGATTCTTGGAGCAAGTTATTTGTATAGAAGACCATAGAAGGCTGGGCGCAGTGGCTCACACCTGTAATCCCAGCACTTTGGGAGGCTGAGGCAGGTGGATCATGAGGTCAGGAGTTCAAGACCAGCTTGAACAACATGGTGAAACCCCGTCTCTACTAAAAATACAAAAATTAGCCAGGCGTGGTGGTGCACGCTTCTAATCCCAGCTACTCAGGAGGCTGAGGCAGGAGAATGGCTTGAACCCAGGAAGTGGAGGTTGCAGTGAGCCAACATTGCGCCATTGCACTCCAGCCTGGGCGACAGAGCAAGACTGTGTCTCCAAAAAAAAAAAAAAAAAGAAAGAAAAAAGAAAATAAGACCACAGAAAAACTTCAGTGACTACATAGAAACACAACCTCTTAACAAATGTGATTTCCATTCATTCAGTAAGCATCTGTTGTGCGTCAAGCATTTTTGTAAACATTGAGGGTAAAGTACTGAACTAAGCAAAATCCCTTACATCCTAGCAGAGAAGAACAAAATAATAATAAAATAATTGGCATACGTTCTATGTTAGGGTGTGATACATTTTTAAAAATGTAGGATGGGGTATATAGAGAGTGACACTGGGACAGGGTAAATTTTATAAATTTTATAGAAGCATAATCTCGATTATTCCATTTTGAAGATTTCCAGCTCTGTAGATCACTAGTGTGTCTTCTACCTCTATTTGGGATAACTATTCAATAATTTTTGTTTTTTTCTTTTTTTTTGAGATAAGAGTTTTGCTCTTGTTGCCCAGGCTAGAGTGCAATGGAGTGATCTCGGCTCACTGCAACTTCTGCCTCTCAGGTTCAAGCGATTCTCCTGCCTCAGCCTCCCAAGTAGCTGGGATTACAGGCATGCGCCACCATGTCTGGCTAATTTTGTATTTTTAGTAGAGATGGGGTTTCTCCATGTTGGTCAGGCTGGTCTCGGACTCCTGACCTCAGGTGATCCACCCGCCTCAGGCTCCCAAAGTGCTGGGATTACAGGTGTGAGCCACTGCACCCGGCCCTCAATATGTATTTAAGTAACTTTTTGTCATCATCTCTTTAGTGGTGCTAAGTTGGCAGCATAACAGCATTTTGCTGCTAATTTTGACTGATCACCTAATGTTCACTGTGTCAGGTAAATAATGTAGATGAAAACTATGAAAGAAATTATATGTGGTATTCGTGAATGGCACAGTTTTCAATTTATATATACGGTTTAGAGAATTCAGTTTGATTTGTAGCTTGATGTCATAAAAGTCTCCCATAGGACAGGCTATTACTCTGAAAACTATTAAGCCTTAGGCCCTATATTTCTGATGAAGATCTTAAGAAGGGAGAGTAGATAGGCTAATACATGCTACATTTGGCTCATGTTTAACCTGATCCCACCTTATGATGGAATCTCCAGGGATTTGCATAAAGATTTGGAGTCTATAATTCCATACCATCAACCTGTACTCTGCACTCTCTTGATCTCAAGACATGCTGCTTAAAAAGACAAAAAAAAAAAAAAAAAAAAAAAAGCCAGGCATGGTGGCTTACACCTGATTTCCCAGCACGTTAGGATGCTGAGGCGGGTGGATAGCTTGAGCCTGGGAGTTCGAGACCAGCCTGGGCAACATGGTGAAACTCTGTCTCTAAAAATAAATAAATATATATATTTTTAAATCAAGACATGCTGCTACCTTTCTATAAAATAAAAGCCATCCTCTTCCTGAGGATCCAGAATCGAAACAAATACAGGGCTCAAGTTGCATATCCTCCTTAAAGCTTTTCCTACCTTTTCCACAGTGATACAGCCCTTTTCTAAATAGCTCCTGAACTTATAGTCTGTGCCACGTAATATAATTATTGTGTAGTGAATGGGCTTTTTAAGCCATACTATTCCTAATGTCTGTTCATACTATACGTAGCCCAGTACTGGACATGAAAATAGGCATTGAGTGAGTAAGTTGTGCCATTAATGAAACTGCATAGCAGTCCATGAGACTGTGCCGACTTTTCAGAGCACTCCGTGATCAGTTTTGTGTATCTTTTTGCATGTGTATACCCC